ACTACTGAAAGAAATGCTTTTAAAGGCGGTTAGAGACGACAAAGGTTTAACTTCCTTGGGAAAAACTCCCTGGAAATCAGAAGTCTGCCTGGTTTGCTTCTCAGTCCCCAGCTCTGCAGCGGCAGGAGAAAGTGGAGTACATTTCCTCTCCATTCTCGTACAGACACACAAAAAAACTGTTAATTAAGACAAGAGAGGGAAAAAGTAAATCAGGTTGGTTTGCTTTGTAAAAAGTAGGTTATTCGGGGAAATGGCCAAATGGAACATTGGTCACCTACAAAGAAGTGTCTGTTGGTAAAATCAGCTTGCCTCCCAGGGACACCCTGCAAAACTGAGGACAGAAGCAAGCCTGCCTCCTCTGCTTGCTACAACACAGAGATGGGGATGATACCCCGAGGAAAGCAGAGACTGAGCCCAGCCACTTGCAGGTGGAATCTTGGGGAAGAGGAGTAAGAAAAGATGAGAGAAGATGGGAGATGCTCTTTGGGTCCCTAGTGGGTAGCACCCAGATGTGACCCCATGTGCTGGCCAACCCCAGATCAGAAGTCAGGCACTATTTAAAGGATAGTTCAGCGTAACAGAGACAATTTAAGGATGTTAGGATTTAGCGCATAAAACCAGAAGTATGGTAGGACCTTTTTGTGGGATATTTACAAGATGAAATGTACATTATCTCATAAAACATACCAGTTAAACAAACATGTAGTTTATGCCACATAAGCCTAACCCGCCATTAGTAAGATATGTTCGTGGAGGTGCTTGTCTACACACAAGAATGAATCCAGACTTGAGGCAAGCTGGTGGTGATGAGAAATACAGCTGACGGCTAGCGGGCCTTTCAGGAGGGAGCCGAGTACCTGGACTGTATGGAACTTGGTCTGAAGTGTGCCGCTGACAGCGGGTGGGCATCTTGGTGAAGGGCTGGTGGCGCTGCCTACACTGGCACAGCTGTGCATGGACCTGAGCCTGAGCCCCATGTCTTCACCCCTCCTCCCTTTCCTGGGAAACTGGGTGGGTTTTTTGTGGATGTGGAGCTCATGAAAATCCTCCCAGGACTTTTCAGCACAAGGATGCTGGACCCGACAGCATGCTGGCGCAGGGCAGAGGGCTCCTCGGAACTGCCTCGGGGGTGGGCAAGGCTGGCAAGAGCATTTCCTTTAGAGGTTGCTGATGGCTTCTAAAGCTTATTCCTTTGCTCTGTGCACATAACATTTTATTTTCTTTAAAAATTCTCATTTTCTTTGGCCCCTCTTACACACTTAGGCTAATATCTACCTTGCAACCTTACCAGTAGTATTATTCTGATATTGTTACTGTTATCATATCTTTATTCCATGATCGTGGTACAAAAGAAAGAAGCAGCCTCCATTCTTGTCTCACTTGAAAGAATAATTTCCATGCAGATGATGCAGTGAGCAAAGAAAATTTATTAAAGCCAGAGAGCTCGTGCCGCAGCAGTCAGGAGGGGAGCTGAGGAGAGGGAGACCGGAGAATATGGTGGAAGTAGGATCTTTTAAGCAGTTTGGATGAACAAAATGACAGGTAACAATCAACCAGAGGCCGGGACAAAACCCATCAGAGGGTCAGAATTGGAACCTTGTCTAGCTTGCTCATAATAAAACAGAAAGCTTTCAGGAGGGTGTGATAGTCACTTCTTTCCATTCTCTTAGTAAGCTTAAAACTCAGGTAAGTAAATTGATTTACCCTGCTATTCTCTCAAACTATAAATTTAGGAGTAAGGAGTAGAATTGATTTGTCTTTTTTTTTTTTAAGATTTATTTATTTTTGTTTCAGTGGGGGAAACAAACTGATAAGAAAAATTGAAGGGAAATTTTAAAAGGGCAACAAAGTGTGAGTACCAACAGTTTAAACTGTTTATTAGGTATTTCCTAAGAGTTAGGATAAGAAAATGAGTCTGTTTATATGCAATAATGCCCTAGTTCTTAAAAAAATAAGTCGGCGATTTGTTTCAGGACAATTCTGTTACAGTATCAATGAGCAGATACTGCCTTTGTAGACATCTGCACTGTAGCACTGGGGCGGTAATCCAAGTGCATGCAGTTGCCCCTATGCATGGTAAAATCTGGTTACAGAAAATTACATCCCTAGACACAGGAGGGTTGAACAGAAAATCCCCATCAGTGAATTAGTAATTACAAAGCCAAAGCAATAGTTTGTAGTTACAAAAGGTAGGTCATGGGCCTGGCGCGGTAGCCTAGTGGTTATAGTCCTCACCTCCCATATGGACGCTAGTTTATGTCCTGGCGGCCCCACTTCCCATCCAGCTCCCTACCTGTGGCCTGGGAAAACAGTAGAGGATAAAGTCCAAAGTCTTGGAGCCTTGCACCTGCATGGGAGACCTGGAGGAGGCTCCTGGCTCCTGGTTTCAGATCGGCTCAGCTCCAGCCATTTCAGTCACTTAGGGAGTGAATCAGTGGATGGAAGATCTTTCTGTCTTTCTCCCTGTAAATCTGACTTTCCAATAAAAACAAATAAGTCTTTTTTTTAAAACAAACAAAAAAGGTAAATCACAGGGCCTGCATTGTGGCAGACTAGCTTAAGCTGCTGCCTGTGATGCCACCATTCTGTGTGGGCGTTGATTTGAGTCCTGGCTGCTGCACTCCAGTCCAGCTCCCCAGAAAAGCAGCGGAAGTGCTTGGGCCCTGCACCCACGTGGTACCCAGATGGAGTTCTGGGTTCCCGACTTCTGCCTGGCCCAGCCATTTAGGGAGTGAACCAGCAGGTGGAAGATCTCTGTCTGTCTCTCCCTCTTTTAGTCACTATACTTGTCAAGAACCGGAAACCAAAACCAGGTCAGTAGCTGTGATAGTAAGGTGTCCTTCCCCACAGAGGGAAGCTGGACTCCTGAAAGCACATAAGAAGCTTGGCACTGGAGCATGGCAGTGCTGCGTAGAAGGCAGACTTGAGAGAATACAGTGAGGCCTCCACACTCTTTCAGGAGCACTTCATTCTAGAAGTAACTAATTCAGTCATGTAGGCAATTACTGAAATAGCTTTCAGTGGCATGTGCCCACAAGGCATTGTGTTGGGGTCTTTTCACAGCCCAGCAGGTGGCAAACCCCCCCCATCCCTGAGGAAGTGAGGCATTCCCTGCCAGAAGAGCCCCTGTGTTTGCGTGTCCCTTTTTGCCCTGGGAAACACTGGAAGGACAGACACCAGCGAAATAATGGAGGATGAGAGGTGATTTGTGTGGCATGTTTGATTGTATTATTTGAAATTTTTAGCAATGAACCTTTTACTACTGGTTAATTTTAAGGACACATCAAGTCCATACATTAGCCGGCAGAGGGATTTAGGTGAGCACCTCACAACTTTGGGGGAGTGAAGTCTGGAGGAAGAGGAGGAGGAAGGGAGCCACTGATGAGATTGGATGACAGGAGCTGTTGTGCTCCTCTCAGAGCATAAGCTGAACCTTGGTGTAGGGAAGAAATTTCCTCTTTCCCTTCCCCGCCCCTTCCTATGCTAGATGAAAATGGGCGGGGGAGCAGTGGCGCAACTTCCGCTACAGAGCAGTTATGATTTGAGGTTTTCTGGCTCACTCTTGAAGCAGGGGTAAAGGCTCCCAGGTTGTTTAGCCTGAAGGCAAGGAAACAGAGGTAAGAGAACTCACATTTCTGCAGTGGAGAAGAGAACAGAGGAAAATGGACTGGAAATGCTGTAGGAAGCATTTAGGAAGAGGTGGGCGTTTTTGTTTTTTTAAGATTTATTTTATTTTTATTGGAAAGGCAGATTTACTGCGAGAAGGAGAAACTGAGATCTTCCATCCATTGGTTCATTCAGGGCTGGCACACCTTCCCTCGGTTGTGGGTTCTTGGTTTTTCAGAGGGACTGGACACTGCTCCAACCCTGTGGTAAGCAATGCTGGTCTGGTAAATGGGCAGGCAGTCACTCCTGTGGCTTCACGGGGCAGGGAGGCAGTGAGATGCTCAGCTCGCTCCTGTGAAGTTCCCTCTGCTGTTTAGCCCATTATTTTGCCTCCTGATGGCTGGCTCTGTTCCTCATTCAGCTAACCCCTCCCTTTCTAAGGGTCACTATGTCAGAAGGTCCTGTCCCAAGCAGAAGGCAGCTGGTGACTCTGAAGGCAGACGAGTGAACAAAATGATCCATGATATTGTGGTGACTGGGGGGTATCCATCTTGCTCCCAGACTGACAGCCAAAGGCTGGCGCCCATTCTTGTACCCGATTACCAGTGTGCAACCTGAGAGGAGGCCTGCGTTGGGCACTTCGGAAACTCTTGAAAAGTGTTCAGTGCTGAGTGAGGCGAGGCTCTTGGGTGGAATGTGAGTGTAGGCCCCTGGGGAGGTAGGTTCCGAGAGGCAGACGTGCAGGCTTCACAGCCGAAGGAGCATTTAGGCCGGCAGGTGATACACAGGCGCTGAGGAACTGAAAATGTGAGCGTCTGACACTTGGGTGGATGGAGGTTGAACCCTCAGGGACTGCCTCCTAAGTCTGCCAAGCAGTGGGCAGTAATAATACTGAGATTAAACACAGAACAACAAGTTTCTCACAAGGGAGGGCAGCTGTTGCATAGTGAAAAATGAGTTGTAGAATTTATTTTTTTTGAAATGTCTTTGACAAAATCAAGTCATTCAATCAATCTGACCACAAAAGAAACTACAGTTTTTCCTCTCTGACAATTTCTTTTCAAAGTAATGGTGTAACTTGAGCAAGTGTAAAAGCTTTTCGGGACTAGACCTGGATTGATGAGTAGCACTTGGCTTCAGGCACGCCTCTGTTTCTGCACCTGGAAAGTGGGAACAAGAGGAGCCTCTTGGGGTGCTGTGAAGACTCAGGACTGGCTGCTTCCTTGCCGGGCGGGGGATAGCAGATCCCACTGTTTTTTTCTGGCCCACCCGCCTACTTTAATGTAGTGGAAATATCGTGGTCCAGAAGGGCAACTTTACTTGCAGACGACTCCCTTGCCCCCATTAAAGACCTTTGGTCATATTCCTGGACGCGCTGGGGGAGGCCAGACAGCTTGCCCTGTGGGCCTTTGTCTGCTGCTGGGTCCCTCGCATTCCTGCGAGCAACACCCCTCCTCCGCCTGGAATCCTGCAGGCTTCCCTTGGGCAGGCTCGGCCCTGCCCCTGTGGTTCCCGCCCGGCCTTCAGGCCCCTCCTTCCAGGCCTGACTTTCGGAAAGGGAAGGCTTTCTGAGGAAACGAAAGCGAAATTGAACCGTAGCCATCTTGTGGCCCAGCACGGCGCAGGCAGGCAGGGTTGCCCTGCTGGCTCCCTAGAATTGCAGAGAGTGGAGTGCAACCGCGGCGGTGCTAGTGTTTGGGGCCCTCGGAGTAGGGGGTGTAGCTTCCGGGCCGCACTGGCCCGGCCTGGGCTGTACCTTCAAGGCGCTATGGACCTGCGGAAGGTAAGCTGGGCGCCAGGCCGACTTGGAGCAGCAGCTACCAAGGGACGAACTCCGCCACCTATGGGCCACTATTTTAACCTGTTCGGATGCATTTACGTTGCAGAGCGTCGCTCAGGCCTGTGGGGAGCGGTTGTATGGCCTCTTGCCTCACAGAACTGCCGTTGTGATATTAAAATCCTGCCACTAATTCTGAAGGTTCAGCAAGGCCTGGGATAGGGCTTAAGGGCCAGGGCAGACTTGCTCTCCCTGTCTGCCAGGGCCCTTTACTGCTGTACCCTCTCCCCCTCGTCTCCAGCCCCTCTTGAATGTTGTTGTTTGTCTCCAGCCCCTCTTGAATGTTTTTGTTTTTGTTGGTATTGTTGTTGTTATCATTAGTATAGAAGGACAGGATCTTCCATCCACTGGTTCACTCCCAAATACCTCAACAGCCAAGACTGAACCAGGCCAACGTCAGGAATGAAAAACTCCAAGTCTCCCACTCGGGTGGCAAAGACCCAATTACTTGGCCCACCAGTTGCCTTCCAGACTGCATCAGCACAAGGTGAATGGATAGCAGAACAGCCACGACTGGATGGGAGGCAGGCACCAGGCCTGCTTTTGTTGCCTTAGCAGTTGCTCTGTCCCAGCCCTTCCTACTGCTGAAGGTCCAACTGAGGGTATTATTAAATATGGCCTTTCTTCATAACTCACAGGAAGATGTTTATAACAGCTTTATTCCCTGTAGCTAAGACAACCGCAGGAATGTGCAGCTGTCCTTCAACATGTTAAATTGGGATCTCTGCCTTGGTAGAGTGCAGGCTTGATCCGAGGAGGTACCTTGGAAGACTGCAGATTCCCCATGGCATAGAGGGATGCAGACTCACATGGCCCCATAGTGTACCTGTCCACTAGACCTTCTGAGAAATCCCCAGGCCTGTGCCAACCCAGAGCCATGGTGCCAGTGGCTGGGGGAAAGAGAAGTTGGTCATAAAATGATGTAACACATTTAAAAAAAAAAAAAAAGAAGTTATATTTATTTGAGAGGCAGAGTAACAAATTTGTCTACTGGTTTACTCCCCAAGTAGCTGCAATGGCTGCTGAGTGGCAGGGAGCTGGGGACGTCCTCCAACCATCATTGCTGCTTCAGGCACGTAACTGGGGAGTGGGATTGGAAGTGGCAGAGCCAGGACTTCACCACGCTCTGACATGGGGTGCAGGCGTCCCTAGCTGCGGCTTACCCCATCCTGCCAGTACTGGCTGCGTTGAGAACTGTGTAGGAAGTAGCAATATCATCTTTCTTGATTACGGTGGTAGTTTGCAAAGTATAGGATTCTACACTGAAAAGGACACGTTTAACTTAGTGTGAACTGTTCTCTAATTTTAAAAGCTGTAAATGAGGGTGCTTCAAACAGTTGGTAGGGAAATGAAATTTTTTAAATGTACAAAATTTAAAGCACATATAGTTTTTTCATAATCTGTGCTTGTTTTACTTTTAGATGTTTTTTAATTATTATTTTTAATTTTGATGATTTTTACGAAGTTGATTAGAATGATTAGGGCCAAGGGCTACAGGAAGGCGAGTGAGATCACCATTTCCACATTCTCTTTTTATCCTTCCTGTGTCTGGGGGAAGGGGAAGACAAGGAGAGAAGCCACATCCAGCCTCCCAAACACCTCTGCACCCTGCCATGGAGGACAGCCACCTGGCACCACCCCAGGATTCCCAATGTGGGGCATGCTCATGAGGTTTTGGTAGTTCAACACGTCATATGCATTTTTAATGAACTTTTTGAAAAACCTTTCTCCTGTATACATAGATTTCAAAATTCTTCATACCCAAGGGATCTTTATTTTCCATGAACTTTTTGAAGTATCTGTATGTGTATACGTACATATATATATATATATATGCATATAATATACATATATATTGATTTCTGGATTTAAATTTAATTTTAAGCTCTTTAAAAGGATTAAACAAAGCCAGAATTGTGGCACAGTGTGTTAAGCCACTGCCTACAATGCTGGCATCCCATATGAGCACCAGTTTAAGTCCTGGCTGTTCCTATTTCTGATTCAGTTTCCTGTTGATGCACCTGGGAAATCAGTAGAGAAAGACTGAACCCCTGCCACCCATGTTGGGGACCAAGAGGGAGTTCCAGGTTTCTGACTTCAGCCTGACCTCGCTCTTTCTTTTCTTTGCTTTTCTTAAATGCTTTCTTTGCAAGCATTTAGGGAATGGCCCAGTGGATGGAAGGCCTCTGTTACCTCTTCCTGTCTGAACTTTGTCTTCCAAAAAGCTAATTAATGAATGATCTTCCTTGAAATAACCACTAACAGGTTCAGATATAATTTTTGTTTTTTGGGGTTTTTTTTTTTAAGTTTTATTTTATTTATTGGAAAGGCAGATGTACAGAGAGGAGGAGAAGACAGAGAGGAAGATTTTCCGTCTGATGATTCACTCCCCAAGTGGCCGCAACATTTGGTACTGCGCTGATCCGAAGTCAGGAGCCAGGAACCTCTTTCCAGGTCTCCCACGCGGGTGCAGGATCCCAAGGCTTTGGGCTGTCTTCCACTGCTTTCCCAGGCCACAAGCAGGGAGCTGGATGGGAAGTGGAGCTGCCGGGATTAGAACCAGCGCCCATATGGGATCCAAGGTGTTTAAGGCAAGGACTTTTAGCCGCTAGGCCACGCCGCCGGGCCCATGTATTGTAATTTCTTAAACTCTTTCATGAAAGAACAATGTGCGATATCTATTTTTTAAATTGTGGCCAGTAGTTGCAGTTCAATCTAGCAAAATTGTTGTTCTCAAGGCCACTCACAGAGCCAATCAGAAACCCCCTAAAATCTCTCCATAGTCCAGCAGTGTGAGTCAGGCATTCCCCACTGCTTCCAGAAGTAGGGTGATGGGGGCAGGCTGCAGCCAGAGGAGCAAGGCCAGTGATGTGGCTGCTTTTGTATGATACCTTGTTTGTGCAGTCATTACTTCAACAGGTGTTGGTTCACAATCAACTTTGTGTCTAGTGCTAAATGAGGCCTAGGCTAAAGTCCTCACCTTGAATGCGCCAGGATCCCATATGGGCGCCGGTTCTAATCCTGGCACCTCCACTTCCCATCCAGCTCCCTGCTTGTGACCTGGGAAAGCAGTTGAGGACAGCCCAAAGCCTTGGGACCCTGCTCCCGCGTAGGAGACTCAGAAAGAGGTTCCTGGCTCCTGGCTTCGGATTGGCCTAGCACTGGCCGTTGCGGCCACTTGGGGAGTGAATCATCGGACGGAAAATCTTCCTCTCTGTCTCTCCTCCTCTCTGTATATCTGGCTTTGTAATAAAAATAAATAAATCTTAAAAAAAAAAAAAAAAAGAAAAGATGGCTGAAATAGAGCGCTGGTCTCCTGGGAGCGCACCATGGAATCTGCAGGAGCCTCCACCTTCAGTACTACACTGGGAGTATTAAAGCAGAGGGTTGAGTGTGATATCTAGGGCACTTAGTGTTGTTAGCTATGATCTGAGTGTGTCGTCATGTTTTTCTAGTCTAAGTTCCATACTTGCAATAAAAAATTAGTTAGAGGTACTTGTTCAAGTCCCAGCTGCTCTGCTGGTGTTCCAGCTCCGTGCTGAAGCACCTGGGAGAAGAGTGAGGATGACCTCTGCCTGGGCCCTACGGGAGACCGAGATGGGCTTCCAGGCTCCTGGGCTCCCTGCTATTGCAGCCATTTGGGTTGTGAAACAGTGGATGGAGGAGTTCACTCTTTTTTCTGCATGTCTCTGTTACTCGCTGTAACCTTTTAAATAAATAAGTCTTATTTTTTAAAAAAATAATGTTAATTAACAGGTATCCAGTAGATGTTCAAGAAGAGGAAAATCCCCACCTGGGGGAGGTAGGAGTCCAAAGTCAGAAGTGGGTGTTTTTGTTTGTTTTAAAGATTTACTTATTTTTATTGGAAAGATAGAGAGGAGGATAGGCAGGAAGACCCTGCATCCTCTGATTTACTCCCCAAGTGACCGCAACGGACGAAGCTGAGCTGATCTGAAGCCAGGAGCCAGAACCTCTTCCGGGTCTCCCATACCAGTACAGGGTCCCAAGGCTTTGGGCCATCCTCCTTGCTTTCCCAGGCCACAGGCAGGGAGCTGGATGGGAAGTGGAGCTGCCGGGACATGAACCGGCACCCACATAGGATCCCAGCATATACAAGGCAAGAGCCTTAGCCACTAGGCTACCATGCCGGGCTCTGTTTTAAGTGGCATTTTAAAAGGTCTGTAAGGAAGGGGTCTGAGTTATGACAGGTGGCAGTAGAGGGAGGAGCTAAGAGGCTTTGCAGTAGCTCAGGTGAAAGGTAATAGGGCTGAAACTGGGGAAAAGACATCATTAAGAGATGATACAGAAGTGATAAGACAGGGCCCAGTGTGGTGGCCTAATGGCTAGAGTCCTCATCTTGAACGTGCCGGGATCCCATATGGACACCGGTTCTAATCCCGATAGCCCTGCTTCCCATCCAGCTCCCTGCTTGTGACCTGGGAAAGCAGTTGAGGATGGCCCAAAGCCTTGGGACCCTGCTCCCGTGTGGGAGACCCGGAAGAGGTTCCTGGCTCCTGGCTTCGGATTGGTGCAGCACCAGCCATTGCGGCCACTTGGGGAGTGAATCATCGGACGGAAGATCTTCCTCTCTGTATATCTAACTTTGCAATAAAAAGAAATAAATATTTAAAAAGAAGAAGAAGTGGTGGGACAGGGCAAGGCAGTTGCCTTGTAAGTGCAGATGACTGAAGGTGAAAGCTGAGATGGCTGGGGTCCCTGGCACTCATACCCTGCCGGAAGGATGGAGTGGTTAACACGAGAATGCCAAGGAGAAGGTGTTGTGGTCCAAGGCGTAGTTACGACAGGCCCCTTTCTTTTCCTGAAGTTTTACTTGCTGTGGGTTCAGTTTATCCTTGATCAGTTGTGATCTGAAAATATGAGGTAGAAAATTCCACAAGTAAGAAATTTATACATTTAAAACAACATACCACATTCAGTGACACAGGATGAAATCTAGAACTTTCCTGAGTTGTGTTGCCTGGGACGGGAATGCTCCTTTTGTTTAGTATAGCCACACTGTGTGTGTATACCTGCCTAGTAGGCACTGCATAACCTTGGCTTTCAGATCTGCAGTGGAGAAATTGCAGAGCTGTGTTTTCAGCAGTCCCCACCTCCTTTTTTTCTCCTCTTTCTCTCTCTTTTTTTTTTTTTTCATGGTTCTGGTAACCATCCAGAGACAAGAGAGTGTGGGGGTCACTGTAAAGCAGGGGACTTGACTAGGAGGTAGCTGTTGGCAAGAGGCTGGGAAAGACAGGGGGATTGGGCTGAGGTGGAGAGGGATAGATGATACCTCAGATAAACTGGGGGACCCAGGCACCTCGCTGCAGAGTGAGAACAAGTGCCCCCATGTGTCACGCAGACTTGCAGCTCCTTGCATGTCAATTGGTGGGTCCTGCCAGGGGCAGTGCTAGGCAGGTAAGTCTCAGCAGTGTGCCCTCACCTTGGAGATTGTTCCTGCAGGAACTTGTTGTCTTGTCTGCTCCTGTCCTGACTCCTTTGACATTTCCAGGTTACTGTTGTTCATATGGAAGGAAGAGTAGGTTAGGGCGCTGCAGAGGCTGTGCCATGGTGTTGGAACTTGTGCTGGAAGCACCGTGCGATTTACCTGCTGTTCCCCTACTCCACACCCCCCCCCAACTCTCCCTGACACACACACCAGCTTCTGGATGATGGGGCTTTGAGCCTAGGCACTTCTTGGCCCATTAACAGTCAGGAACGGCTCCCTGGGCAGGGCAGGGACACGGGCACCCCATGTACACTGACCAGCCCTAGTTCATTTTCTCTTTTATTACACTGTTCTGCAGGGCAGTTCCCTCCAGAGATACCACCTCTGCCCGGGTCAAGGCTATGAGCACAGCCAGTTCAGTCACCAGCAGCTGGACCCAAGATCTCCCGCTGACCATTTCCGGCTCCAGCAAATAGCATTTTTGCAGGGATTTTGCCCAGAAGTGCCCCTTCCTGGAAAGCAGGCCTCATCACTGCTGTCGTTCCCGGGACTCAGCCCAAGGTTTCCAGGCCCACCTGTCAGATTCAGGCAGCCAGGGAGCGGGGCTGTCCCCAGGGACGTGCCTCTCAGTAGGCCGGGGTGCCAGGAAGAACTGCAGCCCCCTTTATCACACGCCAGGGTTGTGGCATGCAAAGGTGTTGACAGGCTTTCCTCACGCTTCCAGCGCCTCAGTATAGATCAGGATCGGGAGCAAAGGATCTTTGAGGCGCTCAAAGAGGGGCAGGTTCTCTCAGCCATTCAGCTGGCTACTAAGCTCCAAGCCACAAGAAAGGACATCAATCGAGTTTTGTACTCCCTGGCGAAGAGGGGAAAGCTGCACCGAAAGGCAGGAAGGCCCCCTCTGTGGAGCATCACCGTCTCCGCTGCAGCTAGGGAACAGCTGTGCACGGCAGGTCGGGAGCCCGTGCCACAGAATCCAGATCTCTATAGCCAGGGAACCCCAGGCTCAGCCCAGGGTTTGGAAGCTGAGGACACAGGTGTCCCATCTGACGTAGAAGAAGATCCTGCTGAGCCTTTGGACATGGCCGAGATCAAGGAGAAAATCTGTGACTACCTGTTCAATGTGTCTAACTCCTCTGCCCTAAATGTGGCCAAGAATATTGGCCTCAGCAAGGCCCGCGATGTGAACACGGTGCTGATCGATTTGGAAAAGCAGGGCGATGTCTACAGGCAGGGGGCCACCCCTCCCATCTGGTACTTGACAGACAAGAAGCGAGAGAGGATGCAGATCAAGAGAAATGCAAACAGTGTCCCTGAAACCACTCCCGCCCCCGCCGCCAAGAGGAACACAGCGCTCCCCACAAGTTGTCCACCCAAGTCCGATGCTTCACACACCACAATGGCCATGGAAAAGGTAGAGAACGGACAGGAGCCTGCCATAAAAGTAGAAAGGCAAGAAACCAGGCCAGAACCCGCAAGATTGAAGCCGCCCATCTATCACAATGGCCCCTCCAAAGCAGGCTATGTTGACTTTGAAAATGGCCAGTGGGCAACAGATGACATCCCAGATAATCTGAATAGCATCCATGCAGCACCAGGTGAGTTCCGAGCCATCATGGAGATGCCCTCCTTCTACAGTCACAGCTTGCCACGCTGTACACCCTACAAGAAGCTGACTCAGTGCCAGCTGAAGAACCCCGTCAGTGGGCTCTTAGAGTATGCACAGTTCACTAGTCAGACCTGTGAGTTCAACCTCATCGAGCAGAGCGGACCACCCCACGAACCTCGGTAAGAGACCACCCACGCATAGAACCTAGAGTTGGGGTCAGGCCTGTCACAGCTGCTTGGTCACAGGTGGTGTTTGGTATCCCCTTTCTTTTCCTTCCTTCCGGTCTTTCAGCTAAATCACCCTCGCTGGGTCCTTTTCTCTGGGTGTCCACCAGGGAATCATGTCTGGGCAGGGGTGACTGTTGGCTGACATGAAATTCCTATGCAAATGAAGAGCTTTGCATGCCTCAGGGCTACACCTGCCTCGCAAGGCAGAGGTGTGGGCTGAGCCCCTCCCTTGGTCCCTCAGTGCATACACCAGCCCCATCTCCCGAAGCCAGGCTCCTGAGAGTGCAGGAGCAGGCTACACATACAGAGCAGCCTTAGGGCGGAGCCCCAGCCTGCCTGCCTGCCTGTTGAAGGCGGTGGTTCTGATTTTACACACCTTCTGTGCACACAGGGGTGGGTTTGGACTTGATGCTCCTAAGCTGGGAAGTCAGTCTCTCACTCAGGCAGCTGACCAGGCTTCGCACAATAGGGTCTTACAGACCAGTGCACAAATTAAAAAAAAGAAAAAAACTAAGAAAGAGAAAGACAGAAACAGGCCAACCGGCCCAGTAAGGAGCTGCAGTGCAGAAGGGGGCCTAGCAGAGAGCTGAATCACTAAAGCCAAGAGGCCGCAAACTGCAGCTCACAGGAGCCAGTGTAGATAGGAAAGAAAAATCCCTATTCTCCAGCCCTGTGCTTGCTCCCCGAGAAATGCACCATTAAGGAATGTTGCCACTGTGCAAACACCATGGAGTACAGTTACACAGACTCAGAAGGCTGCAGCATAGCCTTACGGGATTGCTCTCTGATTATGTGGGCCACTGCTGTGTGGCGTGTACCTGTATTCAGGCTGTCTCCCGGGGTTGCACAGCCCTGGCTGTGGCCCTTCGTGCCCTGTCTGGGCTATCTTAATGATATCACCTTGACACTATTAGGAAAAGGAGACCACATCTGTCTAGAAGTTGGTGGGGCCAGAACTGGTGTGATATGTGGGCAGATATTTCAGAAGTAGGTCAACTTTCCAGAGGAAATTTCAGACTGAGCAACAGGCTGAACACATTTGAAATCTTGACCAAAGGAGACCTAGGACAGGCCCAGAAAGACCTGCTTGAGACAGGTAGAACTGCAGATTGTCTCAGAGCAGACTGTAAAAGTGAAGTATCTGTAGGACTAGGTTAGGGACAGAAAGGGGCCCCTGAAGCAGCAGGCATCATCTGGGAGCATGCTGCTGGATTGGAGAAGCTGCCACTTCCCTAAGAATCTTCCCCTGAGGAGGCCAGTCTGCCACAGTTGCCAGCAAGTCTGCAGCCAGCAGTGGCGTTAGCTCAGCGTCTTGCATAGACTTTGTCTCTGTTGGTAGTAGGGAATGAGTTCCCCATCTCCCGTGGCTGTGTGCGCCTTCCAAGCTGTGGAGAGAAAGTCACCAGCTGCTTTATTTCCCAAAAGAAGGACCACGCGGAGCCTTAAGAGGGACGGAGCTCCTCGGGGCCTGTCCCTTTTAGCAAGTTAAAAAAGCCCCGTAGTAAAGCAGGGAAGTGCAGGGCGGGGAGATCTCCTTAGAAGAGGCCAGGGGCTGGCCCGAATCAGAGTTTACATGTCTGCTCATTTCCCACCAAGGTTTAAGTTCCAGGTCATCATCAGCGGCCGAGAGTTCCCCCCAGCTGAGGCGGGCAGCAAGAAAGTGGCCAAGCAGGATGCAGCCATGAAAGCCATGACTATTCTGCTTCGAGAAGCCAAAGCCAAGGATAGTGGGAAATCGGAAGACTTGTCCTGCTGCCCCATGGAGAAAGACTCTGAGGCAGGTGTCCCACCCTCGGGGAGGTGGGCAGTTCCCACTGGCTGGCTGAGGGATCCACTGGCCCCCTTGAAGCAGCCCTGGCCTAACTAACCCAGCCTCTCAGATCCCCCACACCCGAGTCACCTCACTAACACACACTGTCGCCTCTCATGCCCAATTCCTTTTGTCCCCTCACCCCTGCCCCCAACCAACCTAACTGGATTTACAAAATTTCATCATTGAAGTAGAACTGAGAGGTGAGTCCAGTCCTCTCTGGGGAGTTACATGAGACTCCAGTGTCACCCATTCTTCCCTGCATTGCCTGCCAAGTCCCCTCTTCCCTAGGGAAACCTTGGACATTGATGTTGAGTTGATGGAAAGAAGCTCTCCTGTGCCCCTCGCTTCTGCTGTGGAGGGCTCACTAACCGATGTTCCCTGTCTCGTCTCCTGCAGACCGCAGAGCCGCAGCCCACTGCCCCATCAGCTGTTCCCCTCTTCTCTGGAAAGAGTCCTGTCACTGCGCTGCTTGAGTGTATGCACAAGCTGGGCAACTCCTGTGAATTCCGTCTCCTGTCTAAGGAAGGCCCTGCCCACGACCCCAAGTAGGTCCTGGCTGTCAGGTCTGTCCGCGGGAGGTTCATTTTCTTCTCCTTGCCTCCTCCCTGAGCAGTTTCCCCTCTCTCACTGTGGGACTAGGGGATGTCTAGGGGGAATTAACCTCTGGGGGCACAGAAAGGTGCAGGGCCAGGGTGGGTTTGAGGGGAACAGCCTGATGAAGGCTGGGCCATCTTCACACTCATAATCTTGTAATCTCTGTCGTCACCTGGCAGGTTCCAGTACTGTGTTGCAGTGGGCTCCCAAACCTTCCCCGCTGTAAGTGCTCCCAGCAAGAAAGTGGCCAAGCAGATGGCGGCGGAGGAAGCCATGAAGGCCTTGCAAGAGGAGGCAGCCAACCCCATGGGCTCTGATGACCAGGTGGGCCGGCGTGCTGTGGTAACAGGGCCATGCAGGATGCTGAGTCGTCCCCCAGTGGATCCTGAGTGTTTATCTTCTCTCTTTGGCTACTTCTCCTTCAGTCTGGAGGGTCCAACACAGACTCTCTTGAGGCCTTGGAGTCCGGAATGCCCAGCAAGATCCGGAAGGTCGGGGAGCTCGTCAGATACCTGAACACAAACCCTGTGGGCGGCCTGCTGGAGTACGCCCGCTCCCATGGCTTTGCTGCTGAGTTCAAGTTGGTTGACCAGTCTGGACCTCCTCACGAACCCAAGTGAGTATTCCAGCTGTGTGTCACTGCCCGTGATGGCTGCAGCCAGGGACAGGAACAGTGTACCTGAACTGTCAGTGGCACAGCTGAGGAAAGCCGGTCTGGCCGTGTCTGCACAGCCTCTTAGAGGGCGTCATGCCAGCCATCTTGAGATCCAGTTAGCTGGATCTTTTTCACTGGCTCCATTTCAATGTTTTTGATAGATTGTGATTTTAAAGGGGTATGTATGTACACATAGCATGTGTGTACACATGGAAAACTATTCAAGCTGACTGAAAAGCTATACAATGCATGTGACATCAGGCCTACCAAGATTTGAGTCACTGCACCGTTACTGCTGGCACAGGACTTGAGAGGACCTGAAGTTCCTGCACTGATTTTATGAGGAAACCTGTAGGGAACAGTACAGGGAAGCCACATGTACTCATGGACCCTGAAGCTGTGTCACCCAGCAGCAAGTGAGGTGTGGCATGAGGAGAGAGCCGTAACTTCCTTAAAGGATTACAGAAAAACTGCTCACTGCACTGCCTCTGAGGAGGGAGCGGCGGCACTGTGTATTTTTCTAGAATTTGTGTTTGTTGGTATCTCTGTCTTGAAAAGACAGAGGTAAAAAATAAGGAGAAAAGAGTCATAAAATGTGGGGCTGTTTCCAGTTTCTTTGATAGTAAGGAATGCCATTCATTTATCCATGTTTGTGTGTGATTGGTGTCTTGTTTTGTTCTGTCAGTTGATTGGCACCGTTATCCAATTTTTTTTGTGGTGGGTAATTCTTGAATACCATGATAAAAACTCAATATGAGGAAACATTGCTCTTTGCCCTACTTGAGTCAAGCTAGAAGTGAAAGGTCCTCTTCCTGATCAGGTCCCAGGAAGAGGGGGTGCAGACCCTCCCTCCCCCACCCACCGCAGTGAATGCCTTATCTCAGCCTCTCAGCTCAGGACTTCCTATTGTGCAGTGACTCCACTTCCTCTTTTTCCTCCCTGAAATCATCCTAAAATCCTTCATAGACTCAACTCCATAGTAAGAGCTCGACAGAACATGAACTACAGCTTCTCTGGAATGCGTAGCAGGCATGTTGTCATGAGGCAGCGTATCAGGGCCAGCATTGTGGTATTGCAGGTTAAGCCACAGCTTGCAGTGGTAAACATCCCAGGTTGCAGTGCCAATTCAAAGCCCAGCTGCTTCACTCCCAGTGAAGTTCCCTGCTATGCACCTAGGAAGATGAAGAATTGCCCAAGCTCTTGGGCTCCTCCCACCCACCCACATGGGAGACACAGGGAAAACGCTGGCTTCTAGCTTTGCTCTGGCCCAGCCCTGACCACTGTGACTATTTGAGAAGTGAGCCAGTAGATGGAAGATCTCTTTCTTGTCTCTCCCTCTCTCTCCATAACTGTGCTTTTCAAATCAATAAAAATAAATCTTAAAAAAAAAAAGAGGCCCAGAGCTTTCATAGGTTCTAGCACAAAGTCTGGTCAGAATTTGATAGCCTATTTTATCATATACAGTTGTTTAATCCCTTCAATTTGTGGTGGCCCTGGTCACCATTACGGTAATGATTTGAAGCTCTTCTTAAAGTGTATCTGTGTTTTTAGAAAGTCTGTCTGGACAAAGATAGTAGTAGTCCCAGTGACATGAGGAGCCAGCAACAATCATATTATAATTCACAAATGACCAAAAATGTGGAAAATACTACCTTAGAAAGCACTTTTAAACCAGGCGCATTTGTTGGCAGGCCACGGGCAGACCTTGTGCAGTACCAGCTCTTCCCTGGAACAGCTTGTCTGGCTGGATCTCATGTCCCTTTTCATCCCTGTTTCTCACGCGCAGGTTTGTTTACCAAGCAAAAGTTGGAGGTCGCTGGTTCCCAGCCGTGTGTGCGCACAGCAAGAAGCAAGGCAAACAGGAAGCGGCCGACGCAGCTCTCCGGGTCTTGATTGGGGAGAACGAGAAGGCAGAACGCATGGGTTTCACAGAGGTAACCCCAGTGACAGGGGCCAGTCTCAGAAGAACTATGCTCCTCCTCTCCAGGTCCCCAGAAGCACAGCCAAAGACAGTTAAGACGTCTACTTTTGGTGCTCTTTCTGTGTGTTGGGGGGATGGGAGCGGGGCTTGTTCTGACTCCTCTCTGGGTTGAGTTAGCGCAGAACTTGCTGGATCGTGTAAGGGATTCCCAGGCTTTCCCACAAGCCCCAGATAAAAGACTATACAGTGGGACACTAGACATGAGAGGGGAAAGATGGCTGTCCAGTCCAGCAACACACAAATTCCCTGGCCGCCGTGAAAGCACGGTAGGCACCCGGGTGGCTCCCCACCCCTGACGCAGCTTCCTGTCCCCACAGCTTCCTCTCACGGGCAGCACCTTCCACGATCAGATCGCCATGCTGAGCCACCGCTGCTTCAACACCCTCACCAACAGCTTCCAGCCCTCCCTGCTGGGCCGCAAGATCCTGGCAGCCATCATCATGAAAAAGGATTCTGAGGACATGGGGGTCGTTGTCAGCCTGGGGACGGGTGAGCAAGGACTTCCCCCAACTCCCCAGTAGTGGGTCTTCATCCAGGGTGAGGCGGCCAAGGCAGGGAGAAAAGACAACTTGTAACCTAGGGTGCACATCCCTCAGCCCAAAATCCCCAGTGTATTGAACTCTGAGACTTGAGACTTTCTGAGCATCAGCTTGACACTCAAAGAGGTTTGGATTTGAGGGAGCACACTGGGTTTCAGATTAGGAATGCTCTGCTGGTAATACCATGCAGATACTAAAAAAAACAACCCTGAAATCTGAAGCACTTGTGGGCTCAGCATTTCTGATTTGGGATAATTGTCCTGCAGTTTATTTCCATTGCAGTGAGCACAGGGAGGAATGAGTGTTCATTTGCCCAGGGTGGAGGGACACAGATGGCCACGAGGGGCTGGTGGAGCATGGCTATGTGTGCCCTCGACCTTCAGTGACCCTGTCCACTATCATCTGCCTTTGACGGTTCCCTTTGTGCTCCCCACGTCTTCCCAGGGAATCGATGTGTGAAGGGCGACTCTCTTAGTCTCAAGGGAGAGACAGTCAATGACTGCCATGCCGAGATCATCTCCCGGCGAGGTTTCATCAGGTGAGCCCCCACCTCCGCCCAGGCCCTGCCCACCTGGGGCCCGCGGCCACCACCCTGGCAGGGCCCAGCTGGCCTCTGTCATGTGAGCCCCTGACTGCTTCTGCCACCCAGGCACCTATCTCATGTTCTGCTTCCTGCTGCTGCTTCATGCCCATTTTGTCAAAAAAGGGGGACATGCAACCTATTGGGCCTCAGCCAACTGAGACCATCTTCTGTAAGACCCTAGGAAAGACACAGCCTTCTGCCATCCTTCACCTCTTCTGTCCCTCAGGACGGGAGAGGCTCAGGCCACATGGTGGCCTCCCGTTCTCTCCAGGCACCTACTTGCTCTGCCACTGCAATGAGAATCACTCACCGTCCCCCTTGGCTTGAGGAGTGCCAGGGCCTCCCAGGCTGGACTCTCTGCCTGACAAGCTAACCACGGGCTGTGTTCTTGAGGAATCTGCCTCCTTGGGAATCACATAGTTGTCTGAGCTTACAGCTGCCCTGGCCAGCTGTGTCAGTCCTGCCTTTCCTAAGCTGACTTTGTCCCTGTAGGTTCCTCTACACAGAGCTAATGAAGTACAACCCCCAGACCGCGAAGGAAAGTATATTTGAGCCTGCTAGGGGAGGAGAAAAGCTCCAGATAAAAAAGACGGTTTCATTCCATCTGTACATCAGGTCTGTATGGTCCCTACTGCCACACCCCCGGCTCCTAGGGCAGCCCTAACCTGACAGTCTGCCCTATGTTCATGCTCCCACCCCACAGCCCCCTGGTGGGCCTCGGGACATGTCCTTTGTTTGTGCCATGTTGGTTTTGGAGCCCCAGGAGATGTGGGCCAGGGGGTTCCCAGGTGGATTCTGATGGCCGCTCCCCCTTTGCTTGCAGTACTGCTCCTTGTGGTGATGGCGCTCTCTTTGACAAGTCCTGCAGTGACCGCGCCATGGAGAGCATGGACTCCCGCCACTACCCTGTCTTCGAGAACCCCAAGCAAGGAAAGCTCCGCACCAAAGTGGAGAATGGTGAGTGATACAGGACCCTCGTGGGCACCCTGCAAAAGGCTCCACAAGACTGCCTGCCGTGGTTTTGCTGGTCAGCACTGGGCCCTGCAGTGGTATGGAGAGGGGAGGCAAAACCGGATAGGAAGAGCTGGTTCCGGGTTGACTTGTTCTTTATTGGGGGGGATGTCCCATACGGGAGGGAAGTAGAGGAAGTATTGTGGAGCTCAGAGGAGAGTCTAGGTGGAGATAAATCCAGGGACGTTTTCCCCCGTGGCAGCCTGGGAATGAGGTTCCCCCCTTAGAGAGGGAGGTGGAAAGGGAAAGTTGTGGAGCCACACCAAGGAGGTGACAAGAGGACATCACGGGCCTGACCCCTCCAGTCCAGTTGTCTGCTGATTCTGCATTCTTGTCACCAGCTTCTCCTCCCATCTTGTCCTCCGTCTTGTCCTCTGCTGTCTCCTTGCATCATCTGATTCCCTTCAGGCCCCACTTAGTTGGTCACTTCCCTGATAAGTTCCCTGAGCTGCTAACACAGGCCCAGCTCTTCACAAGAGCTAGCACAGCCACAGAAAGCGAAAATGACACTCGTGACCATCCACTGCTGACGGGGGTGATGCCGTGCAGGAGTGAAGCCCTGGCTGGTGCACACATACCAACACTCTGGATGAAACCTGGAAGCAGCATGCTAAGTGCAAGATGGCCAATCATGAAAGATCCCACAGGGCATGGTCCCATTTAGATGAAATGTCGAGAATGGGCAACACCAAACAGGCAGGCAGTAAACGAGTGGGTGTCCAGGACTAGAGGTGGTGGGGTGGGCTGGCAAGGGCAGATCCTCTTTGGGTGCTGAAGTGTCTGTTCTGCAGCTAATGATTGCCCAGGTCACATGGCTGTGTGAACACACCAGAAACTACTCTTGAATGGTGTGGGAACTCCAGCTCTGACACATAACATGGATCACACACTCACACATACCTGGTAGTAGTTTCCCACCACACCGCTATAATCACTGGCCTCTGCCCCGTCACCCTGCCTGTCATAGTGACAATTACCTCACTATAAGCTTCCTGGGCAGCCCCCATGCTGCTTCCGGGCCTTCTCCGTGGCTGGTGGCTTTCCTGGTGGCTCTCACTCCCACTGTTCCTTGTCTGTGTCCCAGCTTCCTGACTCCTGTGTCCCAGGAGGTTACTTTCCTCCTTCAGGGCCCTGTCAGTGTCTTAGGTTCTCACGCCTGCATTGGCTGCATTATTTATTGTCTATCCTGTTCCTCCTGGGCCCCATGATAGTCCAGGAAGACAAGAGTCTCACTTGATTTTGCACAGCATTGGGCACATCACAATGAAGAATGCCAAAGCAGATGGCCAGCATCCATGGAGTCTGAACACCTGGCCAGGGGGCAGGAGAGTCAGTGGCTTGTGGGTCTGACCCACGTCTCTCCCACAGGAGAAGGCACTATCCCTGTGGAATCCAGTGACATTGTGCCCACGTGGGACGGCATCCGCCTGGGGGAGAGACTCCGTACCATGTCGTGCAGTGACAAGATTCTGCGCTGGAACGTGCTGGGCCTGCAGGGTGCCCTGCTGACCCACTTCCTGCAGCCCATCTATCTCAAGTCTGTCACGCTTGGTAAGGGGTTATAGAGTGTCAGGGAGTGATTTGTGAGCATTTGGGGAGGTGGCTTAGGCCAGCCCTTTCAACATGAGTGTAAGAAATGTGGCAGCTGAAAACCCACAGCACCATGGTGTGCTTGCCCTGGCCAGGCCCTGGCCTTCCTCAGAATCTTTTGTGTTGCACTGAAGTATTCAGTGACCCCTGATGTGTCAGGGCAATCTCCCATCTTGCACCTTCAACCTCTGCAGTGCCTGTGCCTCACCCTAGCATCTGGTGTAAACACAGGGGTGCACCTTCTCTTGTCCACAGGCTACCTTTTCAGCCAAGGGCACCTGACCCGCGCAATCTGCTGTCGAGTGACAAGAGATGGAAGTGCATTTGAGGAAGGACTACGAAAGCCTTTTATTGTCAACCACCCCAAGGTGCTCCAACCTCATTCTGTCCCCCTCGTCCCTTTGCTCCCTCTCAAGCACTGTTGCTGACAGAGCAGGAGTGTACAACAGTCAAGGGCAAGGGCAGCTGCCTCCCTGTCCTGGGGAGATCCTTTCCTCCCTGACCTTCCAAGGGCTTTCCCTGCTCCAAGGCTGAAATTAGTTTGAATCAAGGGGGTGTTAGCCTGTCTGGAATCTGCTCGGTCTTAGTCTAAAATGCAGGGGACAGGATGTGGCCCTCACAGGCTCTGCCTCAGATCCTCCTTCCTGACTTTGGCCTCCGGGATCCCTAGGTTGGCCGGGTCAGTGTCTATGACTCCAAAAGGCAGTCCGGGAAGACCAAGGAGACGAGCGTCAACTGGTGTCTGGCTGACGGCTACGAGCTGGAGATCCTGGATGGCACCAGGGGCACCGTGGATGGGTAAGGAGCGGGGGCACGCGCACACCCTCCAGAGCCCCAGGGCCATTTGCCCTGCCAGTGAGCCCAGGAAACAACAGGTGCTTTTGTCTCCCCAGGCCACGGAATGAGTTGTCGCGGGTCTCCAAGAAGAACATCTTCCTTATGTTTAAGAGGCTCTGCTCCTTTCGTTACCGCAGAGATTTACTGAAACTCTCCTATGGTGAGGCCAAGAAAGCTGCCCGTGACTATGAGATAGCCAAGAACTACTTCAAAAAGAGCCTCAAGGACATGGGCTACGGGAACTGGATAAGCAAACCGCAGGAGGAGAAGAACTTCTACCTCTGCCCAGTGCCCAGTGACTGATGCAGTGGGGTGAGGGGCTCTCAGCGGGGCGAGAGAATTAGAGCGTGTAGCATTCCTCATCACATTGGTTTTTGTTTTTTTAATCATCCTTTTTTTTTTTTCCTAATAGAACTGCAATTGGAGATCCTCAGAACTTTGGGTTGCCATTTATTCTGCTTTCTAGGGGAATTTGCTAGGTGGAGTCTGGCTAGGCCCCCTCATTTTTCCCAAATTAAAAGGCAGAGTCCAAAAGAGAGAGAAAGGGGTCATCTTTCCTTGCCATGCACAGCATGACCAGATACGGAGCACCTGTAGCCCGTTTGCCCTGAGACTTGAGTTGTTTTGTTGATTTTCCCATTTCTTCTTCTTTTGTGTTTCCTACACTGACTGACCTTTTGTGGTCTTGATTAGCCTTCACTGGGTTCTCTGGATCACGCCAGGGTTGATGCTTTCAGTCAAGGGCCAGCGGGCCCCTCCCCTCAGGTTCCTTTTTACCTTTGGATCGTGGAGCTTCTCCCCACTCCCAAGAGTGAAGAGGCTAATGCAACTGCTCAGGCATCAGGCCTTGCATGGGAGCCAGCTGGGGTGCAGGGAGTAGGCAGGCACCCGGGCCAGGGAGGATAGCCCCCTCTTCCCAGGAAGTCCTTAGACTATTCCAGGCTTTCAGCTATCCTGCCAGGCAAAGCATTTCTAGGAGCTTTCCCAGCCAGCACAGAACACAGGGCCACAGACACCAGCTGAGTGGACAGTGTCCAGGACAGCTCTCGAGGGCAGGTGACCTCTATCAGGCTCATCAGGACTCCACAAGAGTGAAAGCCAAAAGTCACACTGGGGCCTATCACCAGCCAACCTGGCACATCTCGTGACATTGACACCAACGCGAGTTGGTCCAGTCAGGTATAAATGAGCTTTTACAGGAAGTGGGTGTTGATTCCTAACCACAGCTGCACAGCTCTAAAATGCATGCATGCTTTCCCATCTATCTGCCTGCAGTCGTTGTGCCAGGTAACTTCAGTTGGTCCTTCAGGTAACACAGATTGGCTGTCTTCCTGCCGTTGGGGGTGTTTTTACGGGGTTGACATCCAAGGCAGTAGTTGCAAGGGAAGGGCAGGTTGTCCTAGGCTCTGAGGTGGGACCCTTGGCCTTTGCAAGGGATGTTGCCAGCACAGGCCCTCTGAGGATGCCCCTTTCCCTCGCCATGGCCCGCCCAGCCCTGCCTGGCCCAGCCCTGCCTGGCCCACCTCCTACTGACAACAGCCCATCCACAGCCCCCACTGCTCTGCCTGTGGCTGCTGTGCCCTCTGTGCTCTTCCCCAGATTGGCCACACTGAGATAAGTGGCATTTTGAAAACACATTAAGAATGTCCATGTAGAGTACCAGAACTCACTAGGGAGTTGGTGGGAAAGCAGGGCGGTCCTTGGGGTTGGGAAGTACCTGCTAAAGGCATGGCCAGGCAGTCCAGGGGGTGCAGGGATCCAGTAGGCCAGACCTGTGGAAGGAAGCTCACCCCCTGAGTTCTCCAGCCAGAGGGCTACCCGGCCGCCACCTCAGCATTCCTGCCCCTCTACTCTGTTGTGGGCATTAAAATCTGGCGGAGCTGCATGTAGCCACCTCTTCACTGGCAGCCAGACACCCTTGACACAGAGCCCGCTGTCTCCCTGGAGATCTTGCACACCACAGCATTGGGCTTTGCTGCTGGAGGGCCGCAGGTGTGAAGGGCAGCAGGTACGTGGGAGCCTGGTGGGGCTCCCACCCAGTGTTCCCTTCCCAATTTTGTCTTTGTTTTTAAAGAAGCTCTAAAATCCCCCAACACACACACACACACACACACACACACACTTTCTTTTTAATGATTTCTGTAGTTGATTTATCTGACCTGTGGATAATCACTTGTACACACTGTCAGCACTTGAGGCTGTTTCTTTTGCTCAAGTGGAAGGGGCTCTGTTGGCTTTGGGGTCTTGCCAGGGACTCCACGAACAGAGTGGGGAAGGGCTGGGGTCCAGGCCTGGGGGCCATTGGGGGCTGCAGTCCAGTCTTACGATTCTGCTTTTATGTGATCCTTGATATCACTGACTAACATAATACATTCCGCATAAATAAAATAGAAAAAAATCTAATTGTTAGAAAACTTTTAAGTCTTATTTTCTTGGGGAAGGTGATTGTGGAGAGACATGATCTGGGGGCTTTCTGATCCCAGAACCAGCCGCATGTGATGTAGAACCTGGGGGCAGGGGATCACCTCACCCCTCCTTCCCCACCTCAGTGGCAGAAGGGAAGCTCCCTGGGACAGATGAGTCTGTGTCTGGGTGAGGAGAGACAAACATCAGGACCAGAACTCCACACATTGCCATACATAGTGTGCTAATGGAGTGCGCTGAGTGAACAGAACAGGCTTTATTTTAAAGACGGTGGTAGTGGCACAGTACATTAAACTCCTACATCCCATATCATAGTGCTAGTTTTGAGTCCCAGCTACTCTGCTTCCCATCTAGCTCCTTGCCAATACACCTAGGCAGGAAGAAAAGGAAGATGGGCCAAGTGCTTGATATGTGGTAGACCTGGATGTAGTCCCAGCTCCTGGCTTCCACATGGCCCAGGCCTGGATGTTGCAGCTGTTTGGAGAGTGAACCAGAGGATGGAAGATCTCTCCCTCCCTCCGTGGCTCTACCTTTCACATGCCTGAAGACAGCAAAGGGTTATATCTGCTTGCTATGATGTCCAGGGAAGCTCCAGGGCCTGTGTCCTCCAGCTGTTCTGCCTCACTCAGAAGGAAGCACCCTGGCATGCTGTGTGCACAGGGGCAGGACCCCCGTGCTCAGTCGCCAGTGCCTGAAGGTGGAAATGTGAGCAGCACTTTGCTGAGGTCATCATTGCTGTGCTTAGTACCTCTACGGCCCAGGCCCAGTACTGTTTCCAGTACTCAGACCCAGACTTAAGCAGGTTCTGCAGGTTCTGGGTGCAGGCCAGCCCTGCATGCAGGCTGGAGTCTTGAACCTAGGAGCGGGAGCTGTGTGAGCAGTGGTCTGTGCCATCCCAGGCCCCAGGGCATAGAGCCTCCCCTTGACCCTGACCTATAAAAGGAGTCTCCCCAGGGTCGTTCCAGCACTCTGACAACCTGGCCCAGCCATCTGGCCGTTACTTTTCCATCTGGTAAGAGGGTTTGTAAGCAAATTCTCCATTTCACAACAGACAGTCCCCACAGGCATAGTACTTCCCCCCCATATACTGGCTGTGCTGTCTTGGGTCCTCCCACAGTTCCCCTACCCCCCCAAACACAGCAGCAACAAGACCAGCTTTGGAAACTGCTTGCTTTAAGAGAATCTTGAATTCCTAAAGTGACAAGACTGTGGGCTAGACCCCATGTGGAAGACTGCAAGAGTGTAGACAAGGGAGGCCGTGGGCAGGCAGGGTGTGTGTGTTGGGAGGGTGGAGGTGCTGGGCAGTGGGGTTGGGAAGTGTCCTAGGGTCCCTTAGGAATAGTGTGATGACCAACAACCTGTTTGCACCTGTTGTGAGGACCACTGAGGAAGCTGCCTGCTCTCTACCTGGTCGAAATGGGTGAGCACCAGGCAGGCGATAACACTGACAAGCTGGGAAAGCAGAGGACACAAAAGAACCAAGGCCTCTGGTTCGGGCAGTGGTTCAGGAGAGGCCCCAGGCATGCCTCACGCTTTCCTCCCAGCAAGCACTTCCACCAGTGCTCAGCAAGGGCCTGGGCATAGGCTCCAGGCCCAGACCTCCAGCGGCTGTCACTGTACCTCACAGCCTCATTTCTGTGAAATGGGGTGTCCTTCCCTGTACCACCGCTGCAGGAAGGAAGGCTGCACCCAAAGGACCTGGCACCAAGAGAAAGCTTCACTCAGCAGAGCTTAACAGGGCTCTTGTGGGACCCATTCAGGCCAAAACCCCATCCATGGAACACACCCTATTCCCTAAGACACATGCTTGTGCATCTCTGCATAGCATGCCATCTCAGGGTGCTGCCTGGGTGCCCAAGTCACACGCTCCACTGCCAGGAAGATGCCCTGCTCTCACCCAGTGCCAGCCATCATTAAAGCAGGGTGCCTGTGCCTGCCTTTCTGACAGACAGTATCTCCAGCATGTCCCATGGAGATGGTCCCAGCTTGCTGCCTCACTGCCCTCCAGCCCACCGTGCTCCACTTGGTGTTCCAGCCCATCTCTACCTTCCCTTTCAAATCTGGAGCCTCCCACAGGCCTGCCCAGCCTGGAGCTGGAATTCTCAGTTCTCTACAGACTCAGTTCTCTCCCTGCTGGGAGCTCACCTAACAACCTCCAAGAGAGCCCAGAAGTGGAAAGCTTGGGTGTCCCTGCTGACACTAAACTCCTGGCCCATTCTGGGTGGTCTCTTCCCCCTCCTGGTGGGACGATCCCCAAGAGGCAGTGCACCACCTCCTACACCAGGCCTCTCCTTGCTGCAGCCTCTGACAGGTGGGGCGCACACCGAGACACAGGGAGGGCGGGGAGCACACCTGCTGGCTTCAGGGCCCACTGCGCTCTTCCATGGCACAGAACAAGTTGGAGGGGTGTCCCTGAGCACATGGCTTCATCCCAAGGATGACACTGCTGGGGTGCTGCAGAGCCACACCTGATCCCTCCCTGGCCTTGCCTCTGCTCCTACGGGCCCGCTGCTGTTCCTCTCCAGGGGCACCCCCTTCCCTGCTCCCTCCTCCAGGCCCAAGACGTGGTTTACTTAAGGGAAGGGAGAGGAGGTGGCAGGGAAGCTGGCCTGACAAGTGACCCTATGCCCACCTAGCTCTGTATCAGAAAAATCCACTCTGTGCCAAGTCCAGCCCTTCATCCCCACAACAGCTTCATGGGCATTCCCATTTTACAGGAATGGAGGCTGAGGCCAAGCAAGGCAAATGGATTCACTCCAGGTTGGGGAAGGAGAGAAGTGCTGACACCCAGACTCCCAGTTCCTCCTCCAGAGCACTAAGCCTCAGCCCACCTACCATCAGAGCCACCTCTGCCTCTGCCCTGCGTTCCAGCTGCCCGCTCCGGGGCACAGCAGGGGCAGAGGCAGAGGTGTCACAGGGTCAGGCCAGGCCCTTTGGGAGTATTTTGCAGACCATTCTCCGTGTGACCTGCCATCTGCCTGCTCAGCCAGCGCTAAGCAAAGCTGGAACCACAAACCAGGGCTGGTCACGGGGTGCAGCAGGGACAGGGAGCCGTGGCCCGCCATCCTCTGAGTCAGGCCAGGTGGCTTCCAGCTGGCCACTGTGGGAACATGGTCCAGTTCAGTCTCCCTGGTCACCACAAGGCGGAAGGCTGAAGCTTTCAGAGTCGTCACTGACAGCAAGGAACACCTTCCCCAAGTTCCTCCTGCCTGCTCTGGCTCAGTGGGAATGACAGCCGGAGCCTTCCCGACGGAGAGGACTGCCAGAGCCCGAAGGATGAATCAGACATGGCAGGGTAGCAGGGTACAGCGGCGCTGATGGGCTGAACTGGCTGGTCACCCTGCTGGGCTCCAGCTGCTGGAAGCTGGCATCCTCCGCTAACTTCCTTCAGGCATGCTCAGAAGGTAGGGGAGAAACAGAAGCCCAGAGGGACAGGCCTCAGCAAGCCCCCGCTTGGAGCTCTGCCCGAGTCTGCTGCTTCCGATCACCTGTGGCAATCCCTCCCTGCAAAAGGCTTTTCCAAAGCCTGTAACCTTGCATTTTTCGAGGGGTCGACTCTGTGAGGCTCCCCGGTATCCAGTTGTGCACACCTGAGCCTAATGAAAACAGCTAGAGCAGGAAGTCTAGGACAGAGACTTCTCCAGCACAGAGCTGGGTGCCTCCCCCAGGATTCTGACCTCAGGGTCATGCTAAGTCCTTGGGGCAAGAACCCACCCCCTGCCCCCAACTGCCACTGCCCGCTTAAGTGGGGCAGAATCAGGCCCTCCCTTCTAAGTCATGACTCTGTCAGCCAGGCCAGTGCAGGATCTGACCTCTTGTCCCTTGTCTCTCTTCCTCCCACCCTCCTCCTCTCCTTCTTTCAAGCCTCACCACCGACACTCTTGCCTAGATGAGAGGAAGAGGAAGATATAGTTGGCGCCACTCTCCCGCCGGTGTGCAGCTGGAGCAGTGAGGAGGGGAGGGTCTTCCGGGCAAGTCAGAGGATGGACCTGTGGTGGGGATGGCGCCCCTTCCTGGTCGCACCCTGCGAAGGGCCAAGGGTGAGGAGAGCGAGGCCATGGGCAGGCTCACTTGGCACTGGGCGCCGCAGGGCCCGGGTGGAGGAAGGTGGCGGCGGTGTAGTTCTGGAAGAGTGGCTGCAGGAACATGCCGATGGTGCCAAAGACACAGACGAAGACAAAGATCCAGAGGAAGAGGCGGTCGATCACCATGGCGACGTACTTCCAGTCCTCACTCACCTGCAGGAAGCAGACCGGGAGTCCAGGTGTCAGCCAAGGGGTGCAGGCCAAGAGTAGAAGGGGTAGAGTGAGGCCATCACACATACAACCTCTGCAGTTTCTGCTGTCTCACACACACACACACACCTTACAACTTCTGCTGCAACACATACACAAACACAATGCTTCTGCTGTCTCACACAAACACACTACAGCCTCTGTCACACACATACACAGCATCTGCTATTACACACAAACCATAACCTGTCACTGGCGTGCACACACGTGTACACACACACACACAGAGCCTTCTCCCACAGTGAGCTCAGATCAGCCATTGGGAAGTACAGCTCTGAGCACACCTGCCTGAGAGCCTCCTGCGGCCCAGTGCCTTATGATCCTGTCCCAGTCCTGGCCACTTCTCCTACCCCAAAACTCAGACCCCATAACCCAACGTCCTCTCCTCACTGTGCCTCTGGATTCCCTTGGAATCCTGATTTCCCTTTCTCTACCCAGTGAGCTCCTATCAAAGGGCACCACCTCTGTGGCCTCCTACCCGTCCACGGCCAGCCAAAGTGTCCTGACCACTCAGTACATCTGCTCCCACTGAGCTCCTAAACCGCAGGAGGACTCCCCGCTGTCTAACTCATCATCACCATGCCAACCTGCGGGACCCAGGAAACACTGGTGCTGAGCCGTGAGCAGGTGGCTGCCCCTGCAAGATTGCACAGGAGCCCCACCCAGCAGCACCAGTGTTATTGAGGATGAGGACTAACGCCATGGGTACAGGTTTGTATCCCAGCAGCTCCACTTCCCATCCAACTCCCTGCCTGTGGCCTGGGAAAGCAGGAGAGGACAGCCCAAAGCCTTGGGACCCTGCACCCACATGGGAGACCTCGAAGAAACTCCTGGCTCCTGGCTTCAGATCGGCTGAGCTCCAGCCATTGTGGCCACTTGGGTAGTGAATCAGCAGACAGAAGATATTCCTCTCTGTCTCTCCTCCTCTCTGTATATCTGACTTTCCAATATAATTAATTAGTTAATTAATTAAAAAGAAGGGCCAGCCCCACGGAGGCCTTGATGCACAGCCCAGCCCAAGGAGCTAGAGGTGGGCAATGATGGGCCTTCACTTTATCACCAGCAGTGTGATCACTCAGTGTGCAAATGTGCCTGCTACATGGAGCCAGGCGAGCCAGAGCTTCCTGCAGCAGGAAGTCTACCACGGGACATCGGCACAAGATTAAGAAAGATAGAGAAATCAGTTGCCACATGGGAAGCAGAGGGAAGACAGGGAGATACACAGGAGCAGGTGTAATTCAGATCCGTGGCCTGGCAAAGTGACAATGAAGGCAAGTCCGGGTGAGTAACAGGGAGCTGGCGGTGCCCAGAGGCAATGAGAGAAACGCTCAGACAAGCCCCAAGCTGGGGGCTGCTCCCGTTTGTGCAACCACAGACAACGGATCCAGATAGAGGAAGGAATCCTGACCACTAAATGCGATCAGAGATTCTGGGCTATGGAGGGTGTGAGGCAGCAACACCCTGAAGGACATCTGGGGGACAACTGGGAACATGTGAATGTGGACTTTGCATTAGAGAAAGGAACTCAGGCCCAGCTTCCGGCATTGGGTACTGAATCTGGGTCATGCAAGAGACTGACCCTATTCTTAGGACAGGCATCCAGCAGAGCTTGGATAAAGGGCCACAGGGTCTGTGACTTACTCTCAAATAGTAGAACAGAAGTAAATCAAAGTCATGATTTTTTTTTTAAAGAAGAGAAAAAAACAAAACCAAACAAACAAAAATTCTTGCAAGCTAAAGGAAACTATAGGTGCCAAGATCCTGGAGCAGGAGGAGCTTGGCTTGCTTGAGTTAGTCAAGCAGATAAGCCAGTGACCTAAGCCCTGAGCGAGAGGCTCAAGCTGCAGGGGGAGACGGTTATATGGATGCAGGGACACTGCAGCTGAATCAGGGAGAGCAGCAGGCTTTGCCCTGGTCTAGGCAAGAGCTGAGACCTATCCTGAAGGAAATGCTCACACTGTTGGATGGTGGGGAGACAAGAGATTAGAGTCGGGGGTCACTCAGATGTTTGGCCTGAATCCCTAGGTGACAGGTGATACCAATGACCCAAAAGTGGGGGACAAGTGTTTTGGTGGCAAGGCTGTGGGCCAAGCACTCAGTTCAGGCCACGTGGGGTTTGAGATGCCCATTAGAGCAGCCATGTAGGTCACTGTCTGCCCAGCACACAGCACCGGAAACACAGAGCCTGCAGTCGGAGATGCAGTGGCAGGTGCAGCCAGCCGGGTCCCTGCAGCCCTCAGCACGGCTCTCACTGGGCCTCAGCCATCCCCGAGGCCAGAGACCCATCTCCACCAGCTGTGGCTCCCCTCCTCCCCTCTCAGGGCTGTGAGATGCTCCCTGCTCAAGCGTCAGCTCCAGCTGGCTCCCTCAGTCCCGGGGAACATATGTATGAAGCTTCCCTAACCTGCACAAACCGCAGTACACCCCGAATGAAATGGCAGCCCCATTCCATCACTGTGGCAACAGCTAAGCCTGACTTGGAGCCAGCCAGGTACCCCTGACCAGACCCCAGCAGCCCGGGAGCCACAGCCTGAAATGCAGGATGTTACCCTACTCACTATGCCTCCTCTGAAAGCTGGCTCAGTCCCAACGGAATCCCTTCTGGGGGAGCCACTACAGAAGACGCCAAACACTGGGTGTGGAAGGTGGATGAGAACCATGGCAGCTACCACCCCCGCATCTCCATAACCTGCAGGACCCTGGAGTGCAGAAAAGTTATCACTGAGCCCTCCCGCCCTCAGCTCTCCCCTTAGTGGGGGCACCCTAGGGACTGCTTATGTCCCAGAGCTGCAAATCTGGGAGCAGGACTTTCAGAGTCACGGCCAGAGGCCAGCTGCAAACGGAGCAGGGCCACCTGTCCTGAAGGTGGCTGGGGCTCGTCCCAGAACATGGATCCTCCAGAGGCCTGCGGGCCATCTCACACCAACGCGAAGGGAGGCAGCGCTCCGGCCAGGCTCGCATTTCCCCCACCCGCCACGCTGAGTGCTCACCACAGGGGCTTGGCTGACCCTCACAGCGCCGGCCCGCCCGCCCTCTACACTCACACTCTGGTCATCGTCCTCGCTGCGCATGTGGTCCGCGATGAAGCGCACGCCGTCCACCGCCTCCCGGAGGCCGCAGCCACACGGCGTCTCGGCGCTGCCCGCGCCAGCACCCGCCGCAGCCGGCGTCGCCTCGGCCCCGAAGGCCCCGGCCACGCCCTGCACCGAGGCGCGATTGACGAAGCAGGCGCACGAGTCGGCGGCCCCCGATGTCGGCTCGCGGGAGAAGAGGGCGCCGGCCTCGCGCTCGCGCTGACGCCGCCTCAGGCGCAGGCGCTGGCGGGCGCAGCGGTGACGCGGCTGTTGCATGAAAAGCAGCGTGGGCAGCTTCTCGAGGAAGATGACCTTGACCCAGGGCGCCATGGTGTGCGTGGTGGGCGAGCGGTGGTGCACGTTGAGCACGCACACGCTGGTGACGATGGAGAAGGTGACGAGCACCATGGTGAACATGAGGTACTTTCCGACGAGCGGCACGTCCAGCGAGGTGGGCGGCACGATCTTGGAGATGAGCAGCAGGAAGACGGTGAGGGCCAGCAGTACAGAGATGCACAGTGTCATCTTCTCGCCGCAGTCGGACGGCAGGTAGAAGACCAGGATGGCCAGAGAGGTGATGAGCACGCAGGGAATGATGAGGTTGATGGTGTAAAAGAGCGGCTTGCGGCGGATGATGAAGTCATACGTGATATCCACGTAGGTGGAGTCTTCCGGGTTCTCGTTGCGCCGGCCGGGCAGGGCCACAATGTCCCACTCGCCACTGGGCGTGAAGTCATCCAAGTTGGCCACGTCACTCTTGAGCACCAGGTCGATCTCTGTGCGGTCGTAGGTCCAGGAGCGGAACTTCATGGTGCAGTTCTGCTGGTCGAACGGGAAGTGCTTCACTTCAATTTTGCAGGCGCTCTTGTAGATGGCGGGCGGCAGCCAGAAGATGCTGCCATCGTAGGAGACCACGGCGTTGGAATAGAAGGACACCTCGTACATACCGTCGGCACTGCCAAGGGATGGACACTCTCATCAGATCTCCTCCACCCACCCATCTTGCCGCTGAGGGGGCAGGCAGGACCCAGGTTTGAGAGCAATCATCAGGCTAGGGGGACATGGACGGGTTAATGGTAAGGCGTTCCAAAGAGGGGTCCCCTGGGAGGTGAGAGTGCATGGAGGGAGGTGAGAGGGACGTGAGGGTTATGGAGAAGTCAGGGAAGTCCCCAAGCCGCTGAGGTGATCCCATCAGCCAGGAAGAGGTGATTCTGCAGCTTAGAGGTGAGAAGTGGTATTGCAGAAGGGATTGAATCCCAGGGAACAACTGGAACCTTAGGCTCATTGCACCCAGGCTGCCCAGTAAGGCCTATTCTGGAGCCAGCCTGGGCATCAAAAGCCCTCAGTCCCCGTTTGCATTCCAATCACAGCCAGGAACCTGCAAGTTCTAAATGGCTGGGAGAGGAAGGCTCATGATGCAGTACCCCAGGTCATCCACTCTCACCTCCCTGGGCCGTCCACACTGCACCCCCCCCCCCCAGGCCGTCCACACTGCACCTCCCTGGGCCGTCCACACTACACCTCCCTGGGCCATCCACACTGCACCTCCCTGGGCTGTCCACACTCCAGCCCCCCCCCCCAGGCCGTCCACACTGCACCTCCCTGGGCTGTCCACACTCCACACAGCACCACCCCCCCCCCCAGGCCATTCACACTGCACCTCCCTGGTCCTTCCACACTCCACCTCCTCAGGCTGGGCTGTCTGGGGAATGATCACCAGTGATGGCCACAGCATGGGCTGCTTTGTCTCAATTCTCCCATAGCACCTTCCTTCCCTGAGCATCCCCACGGCCTCCCCTAACCTTCCTGTCACTCCAGGGTCACCTACTTGTTGTACAGGACCACATCTGGGAGCCAGATATGTTTGGAAGGGAGCCGGACTTTCTTCATGTTGTCGAATTCCTCAGGCTTCCAGGTGAGGCGATAATCCTCCCACTCCTGGGACAGGGAGAGAGGGGGCAGCACATCCTCTGCCCTTGAAGGAGCTCAAGGTCAAAGAAATGGTCAAGAGGGCACTTGTTTGGCTCAAGGAAGCTCTTAGGAGTCAGCCTCGGGGCCAGCACTTAGTCCAAGAGTTAAGACGTTCCTGTCCCAATCAGAGTGCCTGAGTTCGATTCTGTTTTCTTTTTTTTTTTTTTTTTTTTAAATTGGAAAGTCAGATATGCAGAGAGGAGGAGAGACAGAGAGGAAGATCTTTTGTCTGCTGATTCACTCCCCAAGTGGCCACAATGGTCGGGGCTGAGTCAATCCAAATCCAGGAGCCAGGAACTTCTTCCAGGTCTCCCACACGGGAGCAAGGTCCCAAGGCTTTGTGCCATCCTCAACTGCTTTCCCCAGGCCACAAGCCAGGAGCTGGAAGGGAAGTGGAGCAGCTGGAATATGAACCAGCGCCCATATGGGATCCTGGTGTGTGCAAGGCTATTGTACTGGGTCCCTGGGTTCAATTCTAGCCCTGATTCCAGCTTCCGTCAGCTGCATGCCTGGGAGGCAGCAGGTGAAGGCTGAAGGATCTGGGCTCCAATCACATCAGAGACCTGGATTGAGTTTCTGGCTCCCAACTTCAGACCTGGCCCCAGCCCAGCCATTGAGGACATCTGGGGAGTGAAAAGGCAGACACGAGTGTTCTCTCGCTCTCTGCCTCTCAGAGTAAAGAAAACTTGGGGTGGGGAGAAGTCCAATAAACATATTGCATGATCTCAGTTAACTTGCATAGCTAACCCAAGGGATTAGAATCTCCATTTTGCAAATGAGAAAAATAAATCTTGGCGAGTCGAATCTGTTTCAAGTCATGAAAGCAAGATTCAAATCCAATAATTTAGAATGATGAAGTCTATATCTGTCTGCCTGTTTAGTGGAGAAGAAAGGAAAAATGAGAGAGAAAGAAAGAGAAGGAACTCTCACCTGGGTCAGCCAGACATTGGTGGTCATGATCTGCTCCCGCTCGTGCTGCAGGGAAGTGGAAGGTGCTGGGGAGGCCCTCCAGACGGGGGCCCCCTTCCCGCCTCCCCATACTCCCGCCTCCCACACCAGAGGGACAAGCACAGGCCTTCTCATGTTCTGCCTGGGTGGATCTCCATGGCCTGGGCAGAGTTGGGACACACACACACTCACCACACTGATGAGCTGGGCCAGAGATACCATGAGCTGCACTGTCACAAGTTCAGAGCCATTGGTGGCTGGGCGAATAAGCTTGTTGTAGCGGGAGGGATCCAGGAGATGTTCCACCAGCCGCTCCTCGGCATCCGTACCCCGCACCCCTGGGCCAGAGGGGAGGGGCAGGGAGTCAGGCAGGAGGTAAACAAGCAGGGCCTAGCAGGATCCTTCCCCATCCCTGGCAAAGGGGACAATCCTTTAGGCTGTGGCTTTCCTAGTAGGCATCGCTAAGGTTACCGAAAAAGCTTAGGGAACCCCCTTGGAGACCCTACAGAGACGCCTCCAGGCCCTGCGAGAGCTAACACAGACCTGCTAGGGTGGGGATGCGGTGCTGCTCCCCAAAGGCTTTGGGTTTCTCTTTCCAGGGCTGTCCCCACCCCCCCCCCACACACACACACACAGCGAACACCTGCCATTGAAGAGAGGTTTGGGAAGGTGCAGAAACAGAAATGGCTTTCTGTATGCCACCCCACAGCCCTCTGCTTAGTCAGTGCGCATCTAGGCACGCAAGCGACATCCCATGTCTGTGATCATGATACCTTCTCCCTCCCTAAAAAGTCTGGGGTTGGAGTCCCACAGCTGTGGCTCAGGGTGTATCCTGAGTGGTAGGTCCCACACAGTCAGAAGCCTGCCCCTGTGCACCTGCTCTCCTGCACACTCTAACTCCTTCTGCAGCTGTGCACACACATACACACACCCTTCAGAGAGCCCTCCCTAGTCCTTCCAGGCTCCTGTCCTGCTCACCAAGAGGACTGAGAATGTAGTCTCTCTTTCCTGCCCTTGCATCAGGAGCCTGATGGGGGGTATGGGGAACTGGGAAATAAGGGAAGAGTTCTTGAGATAAAAAGCCATAAGCACCCCAGCACTCTGAGATTTGGTCTTCCTTCCCCTCTCTGGGTAGCTGGAGGCCCTCTCCTTTCCCCCGGGCACTCACACCCTCCCCAACCACCGCTACGCAGGTTCCCTCCTCTTTCTAGCTTTCAATGCCTCCTTCACGAATGTCCTCCAGGTGGTCTCACTGGTCTCTCCTCCAGTCTCAGCAAACTCCCCCACCGGCGGAAAGAAAGGAGCGCGGCAAGCCCGGTGCGGTAGATCAGAGTCAGGGAACCTTACCTGGGCACAGCCCGAGGAGGCCGAAGGTAAGCAGCAGCGCCACGGGGCCGGAGCGCCGGGCCATGCCGCGGGCATCGCTCGCCGGCCCTGCCTACGCCGGCTGGGGCGCACCGCGGGCGGGAGGGCCGCGGGCAGGGCGCTGTCCGTGGTGCTGAAGCCGCCTGGCCCGCTGCAGCGGGGACCGGGGCTGAGCTCAGGGCTGGCGGGGCTCAGCGAGCCGGCTGCCCGGAGGGATGGAGGGATCGGGCGTCCTGGCCGGAGCCGGCGGAGGCTCTTCTGGCCGCTCTTGCAGGGAATGAGACTGGGGCGGCAGAGCGGGGTGGAGTCTCCGCCCCGGAGGCGGAAGCGCCGACTGCCTGGGAGAAAGGGGGTCCCGAGCTAGTCCGACCTGGCTAGGTCAAAGCGCGAGGCAGGAAAAGGACCGTCCTCTGGCGGCTGGAAAGGGGGCGGGCCCCGGCGGGCAGACAAGTAGGTCAGGGCCTTCCCTCTTGGCACCAGCTGGGAGAGATTTCTGGTGTTCCCGCCCTCCTATTTTATCTTAGCCAATAATCCTGCACTCCGAAAGGTTGAAGATGCCACAGAGGAAAATACAGCTTAGACTCTTAGAGACAGAAGCAGGGGGCTGTGGGTTTACTATTTTAATCAGCTTTGGGGGTTTTAGCATAGAATCCTCGCACCTGCTCCCTTCTTGTTCCTTCATAGAGTCCTCCAGAAGCCTCTCTGCCTGCTTCCCTATAGGGTTTAGGATGGGTAGGTCTGGGCTTCTGCTGGAGGGCCTTGGGGAGGAGGGAAGATAAACAGCCTCTCTTATCCATTAACCTTTCTCACGCCTCTTGTCTTCTGCTCCAGTCAATGGCAGGGAGATGCGGGGCACAGCCCCGCCTCAACAGCGAAGCCCACACCAGGAGAGTGAGGACGGGGGAAGGAAAGAGGTGGCGCAGTTCAATAGCATCTTTGTTCGTGAGAGCCCTCCACTGGGGCTGAGGACCTGGTAGAAGCTCCTCTTCTTGCTGAAGTGGTTTTACTGCCCCTTTCAAACCAGAAGGTTCCAGATGGGAGCAGACTGATCCAACAGCAAGGCTCTCTCTTGCCTTGTCTCTGCCCGTTTCTCCAACATCATCAGGGCTGCTCCACACACACACACACACACACACACACACACACACACACTTCAGTGATTTTGGCTCTCCTGTCAACCATTTTGTGTGAGAAGTCAAATAGGATAGTAGGCAGCTAGGGTTATTCTGGTCTCCAAGTTATTATTGTTTTTAAATATAAAATTATCTTTTCTCCCCCATTTCTCAGTTTCCCTAGAGCACCTTTTCCCCCAGGACGATCCTCTTGCCTCAAAAGTGGCCCACCTATTCTCATGTCCGGGCCATTGTCAAGTGCCTGAGTGATCAGTTTCTCATCAGAAAGGAAATGAGGAAACTCGGGTTTTTCTTTCCTTCCCCCTAATACTATGGCGGGAGTCTTTTTTCCCTTTGTTTTCTAAATAAATTCTGCTTTGCAAACTGGAATTGTCCATGTGAAAATTCTTCTTTCATGTTGTTAGATTCACCGCTCATCAAAATGTTAGATTTGCCGACTGCCAGGGAAAGAATAATTCAGCCAAACATATGAAAAGATTTTAGATGGTCTTTATTTCAGGGAACCATGGTCACGGGACTCCCTTCCCCATGCAGCGGAAAGACAAGAAGGAGTGGGCTGCAGAGGAAGAAGAGCGAAGAAGAGACAGGGAAGGGGCCTTTGAAACTCTCCTTGACACTGAAGCCGAAATGGGGGTCACCTCGGCCCTTATCGGTGGGGGGATATGGGTCTGTGCCCCTCATTGGTGCAACGGTGGCTTCACAACCTGAGGGGCCCACCAGATTTCCACCATCTGTTCTAAGTCTGGTTGGAGGCAAACTCTGCCCTTCTCCTGTTACCGTGGTAACCATCACTCAATGCTGCCATTTTAAAATTTTTCACAATTTTTATCTGAAAAGTGGAGTTACAGAGAGAGAGGGAAAGACACACAGGGAGGTCTTCTACCTGCTGGCTCACTCCCCAGGTGGCCACAATGGCTTGATGTGGGCCAGTCCAAATCCAGGAGCTTCTTCTGGGTCTCTCACATGGATTCAGGGGCCAAAGGACCTGGGCCATTCTCTGCTGCTTTCCCAAGCACATTAGAGGGAGTTGGATAAAAAATGGAACAGTGCAGAGTCAAACCAGCATCTAGGTGGGATAACTTAGGCTTAGCTTGTTATATTATAGCACCAGCCCCATAACTCTGCGTTTCTAATAAATGAATACATCTTTAAAAAGAGAAAGAAGAAATCTTTGAACCAAGGAAAGGAATGGAGAAGGTAAAGCAACTTCAAAAAAGCTCATGGAAAATGAAGTGAAAAAAATTATCTTGGAGCAATTTTTAAAATCCATGCATACTTTATTCATAACATCCCTTTTTACTTAACAGGAAAACTTTAAGGAAAAGAGAAAGAGTTGTATAGTCATTGTGTTTGGGAAAAAGGTCAAGGTTAAGAAAAAGCCCTGTGTTCCGTAGTGAGGTCTACAGGGCTAGGTGTCTGCTGTCTGCAAGCACTGCACAGGTGTGGAGGATACAGGATCAGGAAGACTCGGTCGCAGCTGCCAACGAGCTCACAGGCTGGCAGACATGAGTTGGCACAAGGCGGTGGCTGCTCAGGAGGAAACCTGTGCCCTCCAGGCGCTGTAGGGGAGGAAGAGAAGACTGACATCTGAAAGGAAGCAGGGCAAGCGGGGATGCTGACAGCCATCCAGTCTGCTCAGAGGGCTGGGGAACCTTGGGGGTGGCAGGTGGAGGAGGCCTGTGGAAGGCTTCTAGGATGATGGACTGGGGGTCTCGGGCTTGTACCAGTACCTCCCGGCTGTTCCCTGGTGCTCTTGCAGGCCATCCAGGCTGCCTATTCACCTTGGTCTCCACCCTTACTTCGCAAATTCCTCAGCTTGACCTCATCTTCACCTTCAGTCCGCTAAGGAGTGAGCTCTGTAACTGCAGCCACAGGGAGGAGAGACAGAGAAGATCTTCCATCCGCCGATTCACTCTCTAAGTGCCAAGTCCTTTCCAACTCTTGGCACCTGACTGCGGACTGACTCGGTTCCGACTGTTGCCGTCATTTGGGGGAAGGGAGGGAACCAGCAGATAGAAGATCGTTTCTTTTTTGTCTCTCCTTTTCGCTGTAAATCTGCCTTTTGAATAAAAATAAGTAAATCTTTCTAAAAAATGCTTTCTGGTAAAATTTAAAAAGAAAAAGTGCTTTGTGGGTCCAGCACACTAACCTAGTGGCTAAATTCCTTGCCTTGCATGCACTGGGATCCCATATGGGTGCCGGTTCATGTCCCAGATGCTCTGCTTCCTATCCAACTCCCGGCCTGTGGCCAGGGAAGGCAGTTGAGGACTGCCTTGGGACCCTGCACCCACATGGGAAACTAAGAAGAAACTCCTGGCTCCTGGCTTCAGATTGGATCAGCTCAGCTCCGGCCTTTGTGGCCACTTGAGGAATGTATCAACAGACAGAAGATCTGACTCTATATCTCCTTCTCTCTATATATCTGCCATTCTAATAAAAATACATAAATCTGAAAAAATGCTTTGCAACAAAATATTTCAGATTTTTTAAATTGGAAAGTTGGATGTACAGAGGAGGACAAAGAGGAAGATCTTCTGTCTGCTGATTCACTCAGTTGACCACAATGGCCAGAACTGAGCTGATTTGAAGCCAGGAGCCAGGAGCCTCTTCTGTATCTCCCACACAGGTGCAGGGTCCCAAGGCATTGGGTCGTCCTCCACTGCTTTCTCAGGCCACAAGCAGGGAGCTGGATGGGAAGCAGGGCTGCTGCGACACAAACCATATAGAATCCTGGGGCATGCAAGGCAAGGACTTTGGCTGCTAGGCTATAGTGTTAGGCCCAACAAAATGTTTCTTCATTTTTCTATGACTTTCTGAAAGCTCTCTCTCTCTTTAAGATTTATTTATTTATACTGCAAAATCAGATATATATAGATAGGGGCAGAAAGAAAGAGAGGAAGATCTTCCGTCCAATGATTCATTCCCCAAGTGACTGCAACAGCTGGTGCTGTGCCAATCCAAAACCAGAGCCAGGAACCTCTTCTGGGTCTCCCATGCGGGTGCAGGGTCCCAAGGCTTTGGACTTTATCCTTGACGACTTTCCCAGGTCACAAGCACAGAGCTAGATGGGAAGTGGGGCTGCCGGGATTAGAACCGGCACCCATATGGGATCCTGGTGCGTTCAAAGCGAGGACTTTAGTCACTAGGCCACCATGCTGGCCCTGAAAGCTGTCTTTCTTTTTTCTTTTTATTTTTTTAAGATTTGTTTTGATTGGAAAAGCAGATTTACAAAGAGGAGAGATAAAGATCTTCAATCTGCTGGTTCACGCCCCGAGGGGCCACAGTGGCCAGAGCTGAGCCATTATGAAGCCAGGAGCCAGGAACTTCTTTCAGGTCTCTGGTGTGGGTTCAGACTTACAAGGCTTTGGGCCATCCTCTGTTGCTCTCCCAGGCCACAAACAGGGAGCTTGATAGGAAGTGGAACAACAGGACACGAAACAGCACTCCCATGGGATCCCAGTGTTTTTAAAATGAGCATTTAGGCATTAAGCCATCGCGCTGTGCCCCTGGAAGTTCTCTCACACAGAAGCCTCCCTAATGCCCTTCAAAATCACTACTCCTTCTCTTTAGAAGGACCCCCATGGGGTCCTTAATGTTCTGGAATGAATTGCACAACATTGTGAATACACAGAATTCCACTGAATTACATGCCTCACTTTGGTTTTGCAATTGGGTATGAAATAACACAAGAAAACGACGTTTACTGCTTAAATGTAAGGTCAGGTAGCTGGTGCTACAGGGCTGGACCACTGGCTTCCCTCTTGCCTGTGTCCTAAGGCACAACTTGCTCTAGTCCTTATCAAACTCCTTTTCTAGACAAAGGCAACCTGGTCATGCTGGATCTAAAGCCACCACCTGTGGACCGCCAGGACCACCATGACAAAACAGACAAGGAATGAACTGTCACTGATTTAGTGACAAGCCTTGGCATCTGACACCAGACATGTGCAGCTCTGTTGGGAGTTTTCCATGCCAGCACCCCCTTTCTGGTAGTACCTTTAGCATGCACTAAATATCTTCATCCAGCATAGCTTCAGATTCAGAAGTTGGTCAACTTCTCCATTTGGTACCAGG